TTTTGCAGTTGTTCATCAATGACAGAGTCAGTTAGCCAAGTGTCCAGACACTGTGGCACTAAGGAGGCATGCAAAGTAGCTTACCTCATGTTACAGCTCATGTAAGCAAAACATTACTGCACACTGCAAAATGATGCATCCTTGTATTGCCCATCATCTAAATGCTATCTAACTTTCAAAGAGTTTGGAAAGGTAGTTTGCATAGCTAAATAAATAGCCCAAAAACAAGATAAAAATTCTCCAGTAAAATACTTCCACCTCAACTCTCCTCTGTTCTGAGGTTAAAAAGCAGATGTATTAGTTAAGGATGTGGGCAAATCTCTTAACAAAAGGTTAAAGAGCTTTATTTTATCCAGAAATACATCCTGTACATCTGGAGCAACAGTAATCCTTTGTATCTGAAAACAGATTTGCCATATTTATTCATTTTAGCAGCAGCTAATTTTACAGTAACACATATATCTTCTACATACTATACACTGTGTTCCAAATTATTAAGGAAAGTCATAAAGATTAACTTTTTTGTTGTGCTATTAAATTTATAGATGGTATTGTGTGTCAGGTCTATTTAAATCACTATAATTAATTACAGACAGATGGGTTGATAAGTTTGTCTGATGAGCTCAATTAAAGGAAATCTACTTTAGAAGGATGTTCCACATTATTAAGCAGGCCACAGGTTTCAAGCAATATGGGAAAGAGAAAGGATCTCTCTGCTGATGAAAATCATCAGACAGTGTAGTGCCATATGACAAAACATTAAATATTTGATGAAAACTGAAGCGTTATCATCGTACTGTGAAGAGATTTGTGGCTGATTCAGAACAAAGATGGGTTTGTACAAAAAGGTATAATCTGTTTGTCTGTTAGACAAATACATCGGATTAAGACAGTAGCTCTTAAAATCCCCTGACAAAGCAGCAAACAGTTATTTGAAGCTGCTGGTGCCTCTGAAACCTCAAGATGGAGGATCCTTCAGAGGCTTGTAATGCATGAACCTACTATTCGGCCACCCTAACCAGAGCTCACAAGCAGAAACGGTCACAGTGTATGTCCAGCCTCAAAACTGCAAGTAATAAAATCCTTTTGGTTGTATCAAATGCATTCTACAAAAAGACTGGAGAGAAATTCTCCAAGAGTTCTCCAGTCTGTCCAAGCTGTATTGTAGGCTAGAAGTAAAATTAAAGGCAGCAATGGTGAAGGCTCAGCACAGTTGACAGACTTTAAAATCAGATGCAAATAGACTGGCAGATAATACACACCACTTATCGGAGTGAAAGTGCCTATGAGCAGCTTTGTGGTTGTTCACATTAAACTGTTCAACTTTAATGTCACTTAAAGAGCAGCTTAACTTGTAATTTAACACGTGGATTAAAAACATGTCTTTGTCCCCATGATATTTGCAGATGTAGCAGTTTTCTGTTTTGCCTTGTTTTTTGTTTTTTTTAATATCATGGTCAGTATAATCCAGACAACTATTTTTTAATAAAAAAGCCTTTTAAACTCCTTTATTCTCTCCTTGGGTTACATAACCGACTTATGAATTAAGGCATGACTGCAGCTGGCCAGCGACCTTTTTGTGTGTGTCCAAACTTGTAATACTTTCATAAATCAACAGTGCTGCACCGGAGCACAGAGTTGGATGGGATGGAGACCCTTTGGGAGTGAGGATGCCTTACAAAGCAGTCTGTATGTGGCACAGGGAGAATCAGAGGGCCAGGGGGGCTGATGGAGAGTGGACTGAAGGAATGACTGAACACAAAGAGCACAGAACAGAAAGGGCACACCAAGACGAAGCTCAGGGACTGAATCCTGAAACGTGACTGTAGTAAAGAGGATTTAGTCTGAGAGAAACAAAACAACACGGCAGTGAACAATTACTCTACAATGATTACTGCTCAATAAAAATAACAAAGTAATGTGTGTTGTTTCTCACTTTTCCACATAAAAAAGAACTCAAGAATAATTTGTAAGAAAAATGTATACAAATAAAACAAATCCTCTGGAAAAGATATTTTAAGTCAGAACATTGAGGGAATTTAAATTTAGATGATCAAATGAAAAGCAGTGCAGCAATATATATGATAAATAAACCCTGACTAGTTCAATTAGAACGCTTTAATAATCTGTCAAGTCAAAAGCTTCTATGTCTGACTGACGGGAGGCAGATTTAGGATTACAGGCAGGATGTTTCCTATTTGGCTGCTTCCCAGCTACTGTGGGTCATCTTCTCAAGTCGAAATGCACAAAAAAGGATATGCTAGTGTTACAGGGGAGGAGTGAGGAGGATATTTGGTTTCCCAGCAGAGTAGGAGAGAACACATACAGGGCGACTGAGTCAGTGGCTCACAGGGAAGTCAGTGGTCGTCAGAGTCGATCTCACCACGCAGACGGAGGCCTGTAAAAATGCCTCTCTGCTTGAGTCACGATGCTGAACAGAAGCCGGGGCTTCTTCACACGTCTTCCTCCAGCAGTCTGCCTGCCGGCGGTGAGGTCAGCCAGAATGGGGAAGCTGTGGTGAGTCTTCAAGGAAACACAGTTCGTATGACTCCCCAACTGAGCCATGCAAAGGAATTTCCTCTGGCTTTCACATTTTTGATATAGAGTAGCTCAAATATAATTATGTCTGCCATCTCTTCACTGCAATTACAGAGGAGCTTTGTCCAAATACGTCCAACCAGACGCCAACTCAGAAAACACTTGTGTCATCTAGTGTCCTTTTTATTGTTTTTTTTATTTTTACGTTTTCAAGAAGCTTCTAGTCATCAGTAGTTTTCAAACAAGTAGAAATCTTTAATATACTGCATTTAAAAAAAAATTCTGCCAGTTCTTGTATCTGACGCACATGAAAAAGGTTGGGAAGATGAAGCAATAAAGCTCATGGAGACATCAGGCCCATCTAAGCCATAAAGCATTAGTGAAAGTCCTAACAGGCCACAAAGTACAATAAGCAATATTTTTTTTATCAATTAGTAACATAATCTAGCTTAATGAGTAATAAGATCTGAGATCACCACGTTCACAGAGGAATCTCTGCTAACGTGAGTCACCTGAAAGTCTTCACCATCAGATCATAGGAAGATCTCTACAAATGTCTGTCATGTCAAACCATATAATCTGCAGAAGATGAAAAGTCAAACTGGATTGTTATGGACCAGTAACTGTGTCAAAGTACACTGTGTCACTCCTACTTTTAACTTGAAAGCAAAGAAGTGCTGGAGTCTGTTTTCTCTGTGCGTATGGACCAAAGAGTAGCACAATGTTGTGCCCACCCATGTAGTTTAATTCATCATCAGGCAGAAGACAGAATCAAGGCTTCTACACGCTTCCCTCACCTACAATAAAAATAAATTCAGCCATTTGGAAACATTTTTGCTCAGGAAAAACATTGGGTAGAAAATAAAGGACTGCCACACGTCATTCTTTTGAAGGTATTGTTGTTTTAACACTTCTGTGGACAGGCTACAAGCTACATGCATGTTAAGAAGATGACTGCCAGCTGGCTCAAGCAGATTAATTAACCTGCCAGTATCAGCCTATAATACTCCCAGTGTTACCCTACAGTGAGCAGAACAACAAAGGGTACAAAGTTTCACACAGCAAATACTCGTTGTAAATGTTCTGTTTTGAATAAAGCACATTTGAAATTTTTGTGTTAAAATCCTCTTAAGGACAAACTGACAACCATATGCTGCAAATAAATCTCTGGAAATCATCTCGCGGGTCCTGAAATACTCTGTCGTTGATGCTCTCTTATCACTGGTTCTTTTCACAGATTCAACAAAAGAAATAAGAACAAAATGTGTAATTGTGAAAGACTACTATATTTTTCAAGAAGCTTTTTTAAATTTGTAAATTTTCTAAGTCCTTTATGTGTAAACACAACTCTGGTTCATGCTTTGAGCTTTTATGACCAATTTGTTTCTGAACGACTAATAGCTTAAAGCCAAATGGCAAAACATCCCCTTGAAAATGCTCAAGCATTAGAACAAAATAAGTTATGAATGAAAAACCTGGATTGTCTGAAGAGAATCACTGAAACCCTTCTCTTATGCAGAAGGCCTAATGTAATACTGCTCTACACTGCTTCAAATCATCACAACAAAGTCTGACTCAAAACTTTTATGTAAAAAAAATTAGGAGATAGCAGGACACAATACTTCATGGGAAAATCTCTAATTATGAATTTAAAAATATTTCTTTCTATTTGCATAAATATTTCTTAATATTTGTAGCATTTGGTATCACCTGACAACTGAAAATAAGCCTTTATGAGCATCTTTCTAAGTACTATAAAGTTCTTAAATATAATGTTAAAATGTTTGAAAAACAAATATGGGGAGCGCTGTGTGGCTTAGCTGGTGGAGCCTCTAAGCTGCACGTCTTCATCTTCTCTCTACTGTTTTTTGTTCATTTACTGTTCAATAAACGTAACTAAAACCTAAATAATCTTTGAAGAAAACAACAAAAGAAATATGTGAGGCAATAAATGTCCTTGAACAGAATGCTTCGAACTGTAAGTTTAAGGTAAGTGATTGACTTATTCAGATGAACAGACTGACAGGCATGTCTTAGAACAAGTTTGAGCCAAACCTTTCCTGCACGGCTTAGCAACACAGCCAGGTGTTGTGGGATCCAGACGGGGCCAAGAGGTCACATAGCAGTCTGGTCTGACCTAGAGGAGATTGAGGTTGCTGCTGCTGGTGACTGTGTGGCTGAGTTCAGAAAGCCAGAGTCACCCTGAGTCAGAGCAGTCATTCAGGGCTAAATGAGGACCATGAGAAAAGTGCAGATGAGAGCAATTGTGAGCCAGATTTGGGCCAAAGTGTTTTTCTCAGGTTTGATCGCTCTGAAGTCCATTCAAATAGGAGCGATGCTTTAATGTGTTTTAATCTAAGACAAATCTGGGGTAAAATTAATAAGCTATAAATCTGACTCTGACAACCACATAAATGACATAGAGCAAAGACCCAATAAAGAAATCCTGGATGACTACTCACTTTCTCTTGTACTCGTCTCTCTCTCGCTTCACTTTCGCCAGCACGTTGTACAGAGCCCTCACTTCTGGGGTGATTGTGTCGATCTGCACCCCGACTCCGTCCGGGTGCGTCCACGTCACCCCGGGGCCGTGCAGGGTCTCGAAGCGCTCTCCTTGCCTCCGGATGTGGGTGAAACTCCAAATGGTACCCGGCAGCCTGGACTCGGGACCGTCCGTCTGCACGGCGACCTCCCGGCCGAACGGGTGTCGGCACTGCGGCCGCTGCAGAGCTTGCTGCAGCTGGCTCTCCAGCAGCTTGTTCCTGCGCTCCAGCTCGTGGACCTTGGCGAGGAAGCACCGGAAGCGCAGGTTGAGGGTTTTCAGCACATGGATGTTGGAGCCCAGGTCGTTCCGCAGGGCGCTGGTCACCGCGCCGGAGCCGCTGCACACCGGACCGGGCGGAGGTTCGCAAAAAAACAGGGAACTCATGATGAAAGATAACTAAAAAGTAACAACCTAGCAATGGCTTTCTGCTGTTTGACTGCAACAAAATAACCTGTTGTTAATTATGTCTGCATTTTCCTTCTAATCCTCACTCCCACTGGACGTTTTCTCCTCACAATGCAGATGCTGAGAGCACGGAAGATGGGGGGACCATCACTGTCACTGCTGGAAGACTCTAACATGGGCTCCTGCAGCAAACGCCAACCCCAGAAAGTCCTTTAGGAGCCACAGAGGGCTTCATCTCCTGACGGAACCGAACCTTTGACGCAGACCGAAATAGTAAGCACCAGCCGCACTCCTCGTCACCCTCATGTTTCTTGTCTCCGTCTTTGTCCAGATCTGCTGATGCTGCCGACCGACTGAGGAGGAGCCTGCTGTCCTTATCATCCCCCGGTTCACCGCGGCTCTATCCAGTCTCCATGCGGCGCGGAGGGGCAGGATGCAGCGCCGCAGAGCCCGGCCTCTCCGTGGATCATGTTGCAAAGTGCTAAACTCGGCACTATCACCATATCAGCCCCTCCCACATCCCTCCCAAAGCCTCTCACTCTGTCTCCATGACGAGACTCAGCCAAGGCTTACAGCTGGACTTCAATGAGGCCATTCCATTTTGATTTGTTGCACTTTTTATGTTCAGAACATGCACTTCAGAAGTAATTACAAGTTTGATTGCTTCTCATTACAGAAAAGTCAAACATTAAAACTAATTTAAAATCATATCTTCATTCTAAAATTTACTGCATGGTTATAATAAATGTTTTAGCTTTGAGTGCAATTATGGGACAAAATATTGGAATATATGTATAAAAAAATGAAAAGATATTTGTGGTCTGGGATGGAGAAGATGATTTTTATCCATCAAAAGTCACCATATTTGCCATGTCGTTGCATGAAACAATTTTATTAATAGTAAGGTAGGTACCAGAATATCTTTCAATAACGTGGTTCCCTTAAAACTGATTGTTTTGAATTGGACTGAGCTGCACTGGATTTACATGCATTGCGTAGAACTTGATATTGTATATTAGTATATCAATTAAATCAGATTATTTTTACTATTAAGTGCTTTGTATCACTACAGCTTTTTTTTTTTAGAATAAACTCTATTGATCTCACTTTACAACTCTTCGGTTGCATTATTAAGTATCCTGTGGGAAATATAATAAAAGCATGAAACTTTGTCAAAAAAAATGGAAATTTATATTAAGAAGGAATGAGTTTTCCAGGTGCTGTCATCAATATTTAAATTCAAAATAATATACATTCAAAAATGAGACTTTCCCTATCGTCTCATTTGTGAATGGGCTTTCCTCTCATCTCGATATTTGTGAGCAGCTTCCCTGTTTCTGCTGAAGAAGAGTTTCCACACAGGATCAATGTTTGTACAATAAATTTGAGTAATTACTTTGTACACATCAAAGGACACTCACAAATAAAAATTCCCAAAGTACACATAGAGAGCTAAGTTATTTGATAATGAATGTACTATTCTGCACTTTGCACCCTGATAGCTGTGCCTTTCTTGTATCGCCCGGATAAAGTGCGATACAAGAAACAAAAAGGGAAAATAACATAGGCTATTGTAGCATAAATATTCTATACATTTTTTTATTTTAATTTTGTAAAATTATAATATAAATTTAAATACCCTAAAGATGCGTTTTAAGAATTGAAATTGTGGTATTTTTAGTCAGGCGCCACATGGGCAGCCTTTCCAAACAGAAACATTTAGGGTCCATTTGCTTCACGTGTTCTCCTGCTGTTCTGCCACCATGCCGAAGTCAAAGAGGGACAAGAAAAGTAAGAAAAACACATTTTACATGAATATATTGTTTAAGTAGCTCGAGTCTAGTTTATTTTTTAAACATATTACTGACACGTACGATCAATTACCGCTGAGATTTTGCGCCCTGTAGTAGGCTAACCTAGCTTCTTAACATCTTCACACAGCATGGTGGTACTGCAGCTGATGCAGATGTAAAATCTGTTTAAAATCTGTTTAAAATCTGATCTATTCCTCGTATTTTCCTCTTTCAGTCTCATTAACAAAAACTGCCAAGAAGGGGCTGGAATCCAAACAGAAGTTAATCGAGGAGGTGGGTATTTTTCTAAATACCAGGTATTAGCTTTTCCTCTATGTTAAATAAATTGTCTCTTGATCCTTTTTCTTTAGCTACGGAAATGTGTGGACACCTATAGAAACCTGTTTGTATTCTCTGTGGAAAATATGAGGAACAACAAGTTGAAAGACATCAGGACAGCATGGAAACATAGCAGGTAGTAATGACACACGTAATCGGTTTTTGACGGACTTTATAAGTTCAAGCAACAAAGTTTAATATGCTGTATAAAACTTTTATCAGCATTCAAGTTTTTAATCTGACTTTTTAAAGGTCTTTTTATTAACATTTCCTGAGAATTTATGTATTTTATTTTATTAAGCAGCTTTTCACAGTGATATTTTCTTATTCAAGTCAGTTAATTCAAACCTTTAGCATGTCTTGAGACTCATAGAAATGACAACATTTAGCAAGTGTCTGGAACTGTTGTGGATAAAAATTCACTGAAGAATTTACTTTGAATTGGTTTTGTTTAGTATTATGCAGACTTGCATTCATTCTGCATGACTTGGCATATAACAAATTGTTTCTACTGCCAGACTTTTTTTTTTCTTGGTTTATGTCTCACAGATTCTTCTTTGGCAAAAATAAAGTGATGATTGTTGCTTTGGGAAAAGGACAAACAGATGAATACAAAGATCATTTGCACAAGGTAAGAATGAATGGCTTTACAAACCTATCCAACTGTTAATGCAATATTATTTTGATTCCTGCAGAAAATTAAACCTATTGTGATTGCCATGTTTAGGTCAGCAAGTATTTGCGTGGAGAGGTGGGAGTACTTTTCACTAACAAAACAAAGGATGAAGTACAAGAGTAAGTATGAGTCTCCTGAAGTCCACATTGCTCCAGTTCTTCTCGACAATCTGCTCATAGGATGGCTGCACGTTGGGCTTTGCTTGCAGATATTTTAACCATTTCAAAGAGACGGACTACGCTCGCGCAGGCAACCAGGCACAGATGGACGTAACGCTGGAAGAAGGTCCACTTGAACAGTTTCCTCACTCAATGGAGCCTCAACTGAGACAGTTGGGACTTCCCACTGCTTTAAAGAAAGGTGAGAATATGAACAGCAGTGCAAACTTGGGGCAAAAAGCGGGGCAAGTTGTAATAAAAAATTCTTTACATGTTTACTAGATGTGCCAAAAACTGAAAAATCTGATAGGTTGGCTAATCTAGTTTTAATAGTGTTGTTACTAGGTGGGTTGGCCGATGAACTCGGCACATTCGTTCAAAGAGTTTGTCTGAAAATAGTAGTTTCATTGAAATATTTAATACCAGTTTTCAATCTTTTTCACAGGAGTGGTAACGCTGCTCAAAGCCTACGATGTCTGTAAAGAAGGTGACGTTCTGACTCCTGAACAAGCTCGGCTTCTGGTGAGGTTTTTGACTTCATGTGAATCTAAAACTTTTTCTTCTTCATAAGTTAAAACAGTTTTATCTTCCTCTTGTGTTCACAGAAACTGTTTGCCATTGAGATGGCAGAATTCAAAGTGCAGATCAAATGTATGTGGAACTCGGAGACAGGCGAGTTTGAGAGTTTGGCTGGTGAAGAAGAGCCTGTGGAGGAAAAGGATGATGAAGATGATGATGATGCAGAATAAAACTTCTGCAAAGAAAGCTAACATTTAAAAGCAGATGGACTTATTTGGAAACTTACCACTTTTTTTTTTACGATAAAATGACTTCAAAACAGGAACTTGTAATATGGTGAATTTAATATTTGTACAGAGTTCTTCAGTAAACACTGAGCTTGCCATTTTGTGAAAATGCTTTTTACATTTATACAGCAAAGTGTTTTTACATCAACAGATTTGGAGCTGATTAGGTTAAAACACATGAACTTAACCTGATCTGTAGACTACTAAACCAGAATTTTAAAAAAAAAAGTTTAATTAGTTTTTAATATTTAAAAAATACAATTTTATTGGTATAGGCAAACTATTTGATGCAAGTCTCTTCATCTGAAGTAGTTGGGACACTCATGGGCTACAAGGTCCCAGGCCTCCTTGAAGGCTTGGACCACACTCTGATCCAGAGGACCTTCTTCAGCTGCAGCCAGGTTCTGCTGAAGGTGCTCCATATTTGACATTCCAATGATGACTCCGTCTCCAAGATCACCCTGAATACAGTGTTCAGAGAGCAGTCAGTGTAGTTTGGGTTTGTAGCAAAACAAGGCTGCATACAGTCATGTCAAGAGCTGTAAACATATTTCAGACAACTTTGTAAGTATAAACACCAGTTCACACAATCCTGCCAAGAATTTCTACAAAACTTGCAAAAAAAACAACTAAAGAGGCAGACTGAAAGTTGGACAGACGGTTGGAAGGTGAAATGATTAATAAAACAATGGATGGATAAATGGACACTATTTTTAGAGAACGCAATCGAGAATAACATTTGAAAGTACAAATCTTTCCATTATCTAAAATTGACTTTATACAGGCTGCATTGGACTCTGGTTTAAGGGGCAAATGTACAACAGTGGCATCAAGTGGTAGATTTCAAACAACCTGAAAGATTTCGCCTCAAAATCTTGCAGCAGTGAAAACGGCACAGCACAGTTGTCTGTTAAAGTGCAACAGATCAGACCTGGAGCTTAGGTTTCCTTTTCTCCTGCCATTTCTTACAATAAAGACATGAGCGCTGGAGAATCTCATCTGACTGAAATAATTTTTAAAGCATAATGTATTTATAGCTGTCAAGTTTTAAAAACTGGAGCTTATGGAGTAAAAACGCATACACCATTGTGTTTGCCCATCCTTTATGATAAAATAAAAGCAATCCATAAATTTATGTTGCAGTTGGTATTTAAACTTTACATGTACCTTGAGTTGGGAGTGGTGGTACATCCAGCGCATTGCAGCAGAAGTCATGGTGGGTTTCTCAGAGCCATAAGCGCTCTCTAATGCCTTCAGAACCAACTCTATAGCCTGGAAATGACTCAGCTTCCAGTATCTTAAACACAGAACAGCAACTGTCATGGATGCAGATAACTATGGTTACCATTGACATGCAATAGCAGGACATAAGTTGCTCGTCTTTCACCTGTCTCTGTATGCTGCAGCCCAGTTGTTGCCAAAGAATCGACCAGTAGGCTGAGAGCTGTCTTTGTCCTCATAGTGGTATTTCCCTGTCAGGAGACCGCCTGAAGACAAGGAGCCACATCGGCACTCAGACATGTCCAGATGACAACAAAAATATAGAAAACGTCCAATATAATAAGAAAAATCCAAAGATGCTTACAATTTAGTTCTGCTCAGAACTTAAATAAATCTATTTTAATGCAAAAAATATGTACATGAAATTATTAGGTGATTCAAAAGTTGGATAAATTACACGAAACAGAAGTTAAAAACATTGAAACACCTGTTTTCTTATTGCAAACAAAATAAGGTTTCAAAGAATCAGGAATTGTGCTTCAAATAAACTGTTTGGTGCACGATAACCCAATCTAGAGTCGACGTATTTAAATGTTCACGATTTTCAATACAGCTCAAAGTTAGTCCAGAACCCCAAAGAACTTTTCTTAATTTGTGGAAATTCAGTGGAATATAATTGTTTTATATTCGATTCTTAAGAGTGTAATAATTAATTTTTTAAACCTAGAAATTTCACTCTGGAAAATTGGTTTTTAAACATTAATCTTGCTAGAGTTCTTTGAATAAGAGAGAACCATTTTATGATTAATCACAGAAGAAAGTACCTGCGAGAGGATTGTATGCATAAAACTTCATTCCATAGTATCTCAGGCACGGTAGCAGTTCTGTCTCCACCTGTCTTGTTGTAGCGTTGTACATTCCCTGAGAAGTTGTGAGGTTTAGTAATAAAACAAGCAGGTGAAATAATAAAGTGGAAAAGGTTTCACTACTTCTAGATTTAGACAATAATTTTTAATGACTACACTCTGTTTTATTGGCTTTTCATGTGATCGAAATTAGCACATATTTGTTAAATAGAAAGACTTTTTTTTTTAAATCCTATGAATGTAGCCTGTTTCTTGGTTCATTGTGAAATCCTAAAATAAGATCCAAGTCAAGGAACTATCTTACCACTATGAAAGTATGAAAGTTCCTTTTGCTTTAACTGACCGCATCTTCGGATTTCTGTTCCGAACATTCAGCAAATTTGAGAAACAATATATATTTGTGATTATTATAATTTTGGTGAAATATTGATATTCAAATCTTTCCTTACTTACAGATTCTTACTTAATTACTTACTGAAAACCTACTTTGTTTTAAGGTTGTTTAGGAATAAAAATGGAAAAATATCTGATTATGTCTTCACTAATAAAATACTTTATTAGTGAAATAATACCTGATAAACAGTGGGAACAATCCAGCTGTTGTGTTTGCAGATGCATGCAATTTCAGCAACTTCCCAAGACGCGTAGTTTGACAGTCCAAGCTCTTTGAATTTTCCCTGTAGGTGATAATTTTTACATTAAATCACACTTTAATGTCCTCTAAAATATAAGAAAACAGCCTCCAAAGTTCAAAGAAGCAGCTTATTAAATGTTATATTTGCACACCACGCTACTAGATAATTTTCAACTAAACACTGAAGTTACCAAGTAAGCTCACCTCTTTGTGGAGCTCATTGCAAGCCCTGAGAGTTTCCACGATGGGGTTTTGATGATCAGGAGCATGAAGGTAAAAGAGGTCCACGCAGTCAGTCTTCAGTCTCTTCAGGGAGGTTTCCAGCTGCGAGCGGACGCTCTCCGGCTTCAGGGTTTTCCCATCCCATGGGTTTGCCTTGGTTGCTATGCTTACTGTGAGGAAATGAAATAATTCCTAGACTGAAATCTTATGTTATTTAATTATCTTAACACACTTCGGACAACATAAGCTCGCTTGCTATTTTAGTTACTAACCAAGATTGGTGCCAACATGCTTCATTAGTTTGATTCTTTTGGCACAATGGGATTTACTGGACTGTCTCCATGACAGTCTCTCTTCACAAATGATTGAATTTGTCTCTGAGGTTTGTGGTGATTCGATGAATAGTTAATGTTGGGTGCAATTAAGCAGTAACAAACATTCCTGACATACAAAGGTTTAATGGCATCACATTTTTCTGAATTTTAAGGGAGGAATTTTAATTTTTAAAGCGAACTATTCAGCTATTCTATTTCAGTCATAATAACTGAGAGGCATCAGCTGCCATGTACTTATCACCCTCCATGTTTGGCAAACCTAAATAAATTACAAAACCGCGTCCACTTATGAACTTAGGTAAACTTTAAACTGCACAAACTGAACAAGGCTAGAAGTTGAACAATGAACTCCGACCTTAGGGTCATCTCACTGAGCACCTTTCATAGAATATGTTGCTGCCACCTAGTGGTCAAAAATAAAAACTACAATATTTTTTCTGCAAACGTAAAAAACAAACAAGTGTTTCAAGACTTCTGGACTTATTCCTTTTACCTCTCAATGAGTCCTTCACAAAATCCAGCATGCTGTTGTCTAACGGTGCTGGGAAAACTTTACTTAAAGTTCTCCTTGCACTTACTTAAAAACTCAGGTTGAGTGTGCATGCGTTCAATCTACCTGTTTTGGGAAGGTTCATGTCTCCTATGATGGCCTCCGATTTCCCATCCACGTACATGAAGGCTGTGTCCACCTGCTTGTGCCCCCTGTCCAGAAAAGCCTTCACCATCTCCCGGCTCTGCTCGGCGTCCGCTCGGCCCCCGAACGCCATGGTTCCCAGTAAAGTAACTGGCCGTTTAACTGGGGACGAAGACATGTTTCTGCAGAGTGCAAGCCGAGGCAAGTGTAGGAGCACGGTTTTTATGTTACTGCTGTGTCTGGCTGTGCAGAGTCCGCCTCTTATTATCCACACCATGCTACAGTACAGCAGCTAGCGTGTGACTGAGGGCAAAGGTTGGATAAAAGGGGAGCGTCTAAAAGTTACTTAGTCGGTAGAAAACGCAAAATATTCCGTGTCAGATTTTACCGTCCGGCTACATCAAGGTTGCTACTAAAGCAGAGCAAGGTTCATTTTATGATCACTTCCTGTGGTGCAGACTCAGGTCAATATTTGTTCGGCTCTCCCTTTTTATCTGTGGTGGTCGCAGCGTTTAGCTGTAGTTCATATTTTTGAACACAGGGCGGCAGCAAATCATCATTCAGCCAAGACCTCTCTTTAATAAAATGAATATTCTAAAAAAAAAATTTAAATGAAATTCTAATTTTAATTCGAAGATATACATGAAACAATCCTAGCATGTTGTTTATTACAATACATTACCTAATTCATACATACATGCAGATCAACAATGTCAGCTCTGATATATAAAGAAATGTGATTTATAGATAATAAAAACACATTTTTTAGTTCTCAGTGTCTGAATATTGTAAAATGCAGTTATAAAAATGTAGATGGAAATGTTACACTACTGCATCATTGTGCCATGGCTGAATGTATCTGTGATGCTTTTGCACCTTTTCATACAACATGTTTTCTTTCTACTAAACTTTAACATGCCTGAATATAGCACTCAGTGTCTGGTCAGCCCCTTTAGCACTGACCTTTTGTGGGCTTCTGGTGAGATGTGTCAACGACTTTCTGCTGAACGTCATCTCCACGCTTGGGATTTTCAATCTGACACCGATTTATTTAAATGTGCTGTGTCCTGAAATAATTAGCTTTTTATTTGTAAGGCTTCAAATAAAAGGTGTGTGTGTGTGCGTGCGTGTGCATCTTCTGCTCTCTGCCTTTCTGTTTTGGCAATAAAAGCTAATGTCTGCGACC